CCATGTCTTTGCTCGGAAGATTGAGGTGCCAAACCTAGCGTGTGGCGGCATCGATGAACGTGATGGTTTAGCTGTATGCTCCTTGTCCAGGTTCGCGATTGTACAGGATGTCGCTGTACACTTTCTCGAGTGGTGCGTAAGCTGGTGCTCTCGGGTTGTGGTGAGAAACGAACGGCCGATGTGGTAAGTCGGCTTCGGGGCAGGTAAAGCACATTCCGCGAGGTCGTCGAAGTTCGCTACCGTCGGTTAGAAGTAGTGAGTCTTTGTCGAGCACGCCTGTTCTGATTGTGTTATTTAACACCGTGTTGCTTGGATATCCCATTCGTGCGTGCCAGATATCTTCGCCAGCTCGATGTCCGGGTGAACGATGGTATATGTCGAAGTTGGAGTAGAAGCTTGCGGTGAAGTTTGCGCTTCGATGCACTTCTCGTGGTGTTGGATTCAGTTGTTGTGCAGAAGTCGGTGGAGTGTCGTCGTCGATTAGGGCTGGTGCAGTTGAAGGACCCGCGATTGGTGCCGATGTTGTCTCTGCTGCTGCCGATGTTGTCTCTGCTGCTGCCGATGTTGTCTCTGCTGCTGCCGATGTTGTCTCTGCTGCTGCCGATTGAATTGTTGCTAACGCTTTTGTTCGTTCTGCCTCAAGGATGGTGTGCGAATACCCGAATTCTTCAGGACGGTTGTCAGGATCAAGATCCGGTGGGTGCGTCCAGGAGGTAAAGGTGACGATTCCGTCGCTGTCGGCGGTGCCTAGATCTGGAACGAAGTCGAGGACGAACACGTTGTTCTTCAGCACGGCCTTGCCAATATAGAGGCCTCCTCTTCCGTGGTACAGCTTGAACTCCTGTGTTGTGTTGTCTGCTTCGAGGTGGATACCTTTCGCCATCAGCTGACTGACACTCAGTAAGTTGTAGCCGAGTCCCTCCGCAATTAAAACCTTTGACATTTGCAGTATGACGTTTGTCTCTCGTGACTGAAGTTGCACTACGCCTTGTCGTCGTGTGCACAGGTTCTGATTGTTGGCGACGGTGATGACAACGTCGCGTTGAAGTTGGTATTCTCGTTGAACGAAACGACCTGAAGAGCGCATATGCTATCTGCAACAACTGTCCAAGAACCAAGTGTCTTTTCCGGACGGCTCGCTTTGAGCGATGGCTGCATACGTCGGGTTCGGTTGGAGTGACTCGCGGCGAGGGGTGCTGTTGTCGAGTTGCTCTTCCGGTGAGTAGTGCGGTGGTGACTCGGTGATGCAGGAGTCAGTCAGTCTTGCCATGCAACTGACGATGTTCTTGCTCCTTGTGCAGATTGTGTTGACGATGTCGTTGAGGGCTGCAGTTGACTCGTGGGGTGCACTTGTGTGGACGCCACTTGACTGCTTGAAGGACGAAGTTGGCGTTGCGGCGGCGTTTTCTGCTGTCGATCCGGGCAGTGTGTGCGAGGGTGCCCTGAAGTCTTGCAGAAATGACAGAATGGAGGTACGGTTTTCGGTTGATGCCGCTTGTTGTTGTTGTTGTAGAGCCGTTGAGTGTGAAACGCAAATTCGGGTACTGACGTTTTCTTCTTGTGCCGTTCCTCTTGCGGGTCCATGTCTTGCTGTTCAGCGTGAATTTCGGCGCAGAGTGTTGCTTCGGAGATCTTCCCGTGAGCTCGGAGTATGGCGCGAGTGGAGCGCCAATGGGGACCAAGACCGCCAATGACGACTGTGACGAAGGCGTCTTCTGATATCGACCCTCCGCATCGAAGGAGTTTGTCGCGCAATTCGCGACAGCGACTGATATAAGCCATCCCCTTTTTGCCCGGTTTCATTTCCACTGTTGTCAGTTGTGCCATTAACCGGCTCTGATTAACGCTGTCTGTTCCCTGATACAGGTTCTTCAAGTGGTTGTACGCGAGCTCGGCAGAGTTCCCGTATCCCCAGTAAGACCGAATATTCTGCTGCTGGTTCGGTGTGACGTTGCACAGTAGGATTGTGTATGCCATCATGGACTGATATGTGTACTGCTGCTTGTCGTATTGCATCACGTGCGTTGGATATGGCAGGGACCCGTCGAAGAAGCCAAGAATCTGCGCGCCTTCCATCATTAGCACAAATTCGAACGACCAGGTGAAGAAGTCTTTTCCGTCGAACGCTCTTGATGTCTGCAGTTTTAAGACGTGCGCGAACTGCGACTGAACTTGAAGTGCATCCAATGTCTTCTCTTGCTCAGGTGAAGGCTGCTGGCGCGGCATGAAGCTGACGGAACCACACTGGGGTTCGTACGGGGCAAAGGTAGGTTGTTGTTGCTGATTTCTTCGCGCGTAGGATGAACCGTCGAGGCTCATCGGTGTCACATCGTTGTTGTTGTTGCTGTTGTTTGACTGTGTAGGTGCCCCTTGCTGGTGTTGTTCGTAGAAGGACATGAAGGAGAAGAACTTCTCCATCATGCTTGGGTCGAAGCCCGTGGCTTGATTTGCGGGAGTTTCGGTAGACCCAGCTGCTGGTCTTGTTGCTGTGCCCTCCTCTGTCTGTAGGCCAGAGGCAGGAGGTGGAGTAGGAGTAGTACCGGGAGAGACGTTAGAGGAGCTTCTCTCCTTCTGCGTTGCCATGCCTTCTAATGTTGTAGGTGTTTTGATAGTAGTTGAGTTTGCCCTGATAGCTCTCATACCATGTTGGGCTGAAAAAGCCCTTAGGATCTTTGCAGGACTAAACTCTGAGTAAGAACAATGTAATAGCGGAAGCGTTTAATGATAAGTCTGTGAACCACCTTGCGCTGGTATGTGAAGGCAAAGTAGATTGATTAAAACAAAGAGATACAAGCATTTATAAGAGTACAAGGGAATATGAAATATTATAGCTAACTACAGTTTTATCGTTGCTGCGGTTCGATACAGTGACGACTTGGGCAACTGCTCAATAACGAGTCAGTTGTTTGTCCTTGCTGTCGCGCTGTACTTGTCAGGTCAAAGGTCGCTGACCTTTGACTTTCGCGTAACCTCCAGCGGTTTCTTCACTTCTCAACTTCCAAGTGTTGACTCGCCGATGCTTCACTGTATTTCGCTTCGTTTACGACTTAGTGCTTCGACACGACAGAGGCGCTTAAATCACTTATTTCCAACACGCGTAGCGGAGGGGGCTTCTTGAGAAGGTGGTGGGGTGGGGTGGTAGTGTAAGGAATTTTCTCGACCTTTCTTACCGCGGCCAGCAACATCGCGTCCAGCAGCAGCCATTGTTTGCCCGTTACTGCTAATGGGGCTTTGCCAACTTCGCGCGCACTGTTTTACCAATCTATGCACCGCTGGCCTAGCCGAGTCGGCCTACGCTTCGGGACTAGCCCGAACCTCGATGCCAGCCTAGCACTAGCTAGCTCGCACTCACCGCGTAACGGTTGCATGTTTCGCACATAAGTATTCGCTCATGCCTTCGCTCATACTTGTACTCGTTTGACACCTAGTGCAATCCTCGCTATCTCGTTCCATTGCACCCGTAACAATACATATATATGTATACATATACATATACATATACCGTATACATATATACATGTGTGTGTGTGTGTGTGTGTGTGTGTGTGTGTGTGTGTGTGTGTGTGTGTGTGTGTGTGTGTGTGTGTGTGTGTGCGTGCGTGCGCGCGCGCGCGCTAACAACAAGCTCATGCTTTCTTATATATTGCTGAAATAAAAGATTTCATTGATATGAAGGCACACAACACTTGTAGTGTAAGTGCTTGATGAAATCTTGCATGCAACAGCTTATTAGGAGAACAAACACATCCTATACGCCGTCCCAGCTGATCATTATTTGGATTCAAACCAGAGAATAACCTACGGTATTGAGCTCATGAAGCGTGCACATAGATTATTGTATCGTACAACGTTTTTGTCGCCGTATGAGATTCTGGATGCCGGATGCATCCATATCCGTTCACGTACACATATGTATGCATATACTTTGGCCACGGCTGGTTTGTCTTCTCCGCAGCACCAACCTTATCTTCAAAGAAGCAGCTTCTCTCTCCACAGCACAGCCCCTTTTTCAGAAAAAAAGCAACCCCTACCTCCACAGCACCAACCCCTCTCTTCCATTCCCCCTACGTGTTGGGAGGGTCTGTCCCCCCTCACTGGGGCTCAGCCCCCACCCTGCCACCAATATTTATCAAATCACTCATCGAATCGCCCCAATTATATACGAATTGACGATGTCCACCCATGAATCCGGCACCTCGGGGACACAAAAGCGGGAGCAGTTGGGGCAGTCCGTTCCTGTTACCATCTGCTGGATTTTCTCCCCTCACACCAATCCTTCCCAAGTCTCTCATAATCAAATCGTGCCGATCATATACGAATTGACGATGTCCACCCATGAATCTGGCACCCCGGGGACGCAGAAGTGGGAGCAGTCGGGGTTGCCCGTTCCTGTTGCCAACTGTTGATGTGAGTCTGGGCGAGAGAGGGTGGATCGAGCCACGTCCACGATTTTAAACTCCGGTGCCTTTCGTAGGATCTGCGCATCGGAGGACAGGTTCGGGAAAGAGAGGACAGGAGGTTTGGCAAGTAGGTCCGGGAGATGGTGGATCGAGCCATGTCCACGATCACGATTTTTATGCGGACAGATTCGGCATAGGTTTGGGAACGAGGGAGGATATGAAAGGGTCAGTAGGTTCAGGAAGGCAGTGAGCAGGTAAGGAAGAACGAGCCACATTTTCCTGCAGATTTTTCAAGGATTGGTGGAGCATGGAGGGCTCGGGCCATGTTCATTCAGTAACTTGACCACCTCTGACCATGGTGGTCACATCAGTCATCCCTTCTGCTCCTGTCTGTCTCCCACTGCTCCTCCACCCCCCCAACCCTCCCCCCTCAACCCTTCAACTCGCTGCCTTCAACCCTCCCCCTTCAACCCTTCGGCGTATTGCAGCTGCTTGGGCTTAACCTCGCCCCCTCTCGCATCCAAACTCCCCTCCCTTGCCTTTCCCCAAGAGAAACTTCCCTCTCACCCGCACAGCCCCCTGCCCCCCCCCTTCACTCACCGCCACCTGTGCATTCCGTGACGTGATGATATCGGTCGCGGCTTCGGCGTATTGCAGCTGCTTGGGCTTTAAGGGGTCGGTGAACCCCACGCAGCTCTGCGACTTGGCGTCAAACGAGTTGTAGTAGTGGAAGGCCGTGAACGTGATGAAGAACGGCGTGCCGCGGTAACCAGACGCCTTCACGAACCGCGTGACTGTAACGAGCGACTCTTGCATGGTTAGCAGCGCGGATTGCGGCTTGATCGGCTGCCCTCCGCGGCGGTATTTCCGGAGGTTGTCGGACGCCTGGTAGAGGGAGGGCGATGGGAATGGGGTGAGAGGGTTAGGGTGGGGATGGGGATGGAGATGGGGATGGATTCCCGTAGGAAACTCTTGCATGGGATGGGGATGGGGATGGAGATGGGGATGGGGATGGGGATGGGGATGGGGATGGGGATGGGGATGGGGATGGGGATGGGGATGGGGATGGGGATGGAGATGGGGATGGAGATGGGGATGGAGATGGAGATTGAGAGGAAGTGGGGGTGTGAATGGGGATGGGGGTGGAGTTATATGGAAAATTCTTGCACGGGTACATGTCCGTGTGGCAGAATTACTTCCCATTGGTGCAGTCCATTCAGAGATAGCGAGTTTCTCCTTGTGGTATACAAAGTGTTTTCTGTGGATGGAGGTGTGTTTATGGAAGAGCATAAGGAGGAGAGTATGTGTGGAGTAACCTGTGTGCTAGTGATCCGATACTCACCTGCTTGAACCACTCACCACCGCTTTCAACCTCCCTTGCCTCACCTGGCTGAACCAGTGACCGGAGCTGAAGAGCGCGTAGTGGGTGAAGGACAAGAGCTTGGCCCAGTTGTCGTCCACTTTGTCTAATTCCACTTGCCACACCCCTGCGCTCGATACCTCGCCCTGCGATACAGGTAGACGAATGTGGAAAAGAATGATGAGATTGGGTTACATGTTATTTCTAGAGAACTTCAGATTATGCAACAGAAATTGGCCCATAAAAACGTCCTACAACGGAGCGGTTATTTTTTTGGAAGATGATTGAAGTGTTGATTGAGTTTTTGTAGTCGGCGGCAGGAAAGGCTCACGATTGGTTGCGACGCGACGAGGAAATTCGAGGGCACGCGAACTACAGTGAAGTTGAACGCCTTTGCGAAGTAACCCGATGCCTTCACTCCAGTGTTACCCCACTGCTTGTTGGTAAAATCCTGCCGAAAGAGAAACAAGTCACAAAGGAAGGTCATGGGAGTGTGTGTGAGAATTGCTGGGGAGCCTAGGAAACTCCAATCTTGCATTACATATACTGAGAAGGGAAAGAAGGAAGGGGGGGAGAGGAGCAGACAAGGGGTGGAGGGAAGCACTTGACCGAGGAGATTCGCGACTTTGAACTGGTTACTTCACGAATTGGGTGGTCTCCCACGATGTTCGCACGAAATACCGCTATGCTGGGGACCCTACGACACCCTTGCCTGTTTCTAAGGAGCATCGACCATGAAAACCCTAGGCATCTAGAGCCTTGGCTCCCAGCAACAATTAGTCCAAGCCTGTCCGTTCAATGAGCTACTATATCAGCTCTCGTGAAGCCATTCCTCCAATGCCGGATCTCTCGTTCAAGCCGTCTCCCCTACTGATCTGTTTCCCTATTGTCGCCCCAGTACTGCGCCCAGACAGCGGCCGCCAACGCCAGCTATCACCGGGTAGAATTTGAGTCGTCTATGCACCGCTAGTTTTTGACAATTCGCACCTAATTTTCTTTCGCCTCGCTCTTCTCCTATCAGGCTTCCTACAAACGCTTCTCTCGCAGAGCCACCTAAATGAAGTTTGTCCGTCGACCGCCGTGCTTTTTACGCACCTTGGTTTTGGTGTATGAGCCGATGAGGCAGCGGAACGAGGCGTCGAAGTTCGTCGCGAAGGAGTCGCCGGTAACCAGAAACACCTTGTTGCGAAACCGGTGCATGAAAGACGTCGCATTGAACCTGTGCGAAGAAAAGTGACGCGCGCGTGGTTAGTACTTTTCAAGTCAGAAACAAACTCTAGGAGCACAGACTGCCCTGAAAAAAACATGTTCAGGATACGCGAACCGGGACTTACCTCTGGATGTTACAACCAGGGCTTCGCCACACGTAATTGAGGTATCTGCGATCTTTTCGCCCGTTCGCGAGGCAGTTGAAGTACGATCGTAGGTTTTTGCAGCTCACGGGGCCGTATGCTGGCTTGTACTTGGCGTCGTATACCCACCTGTGGCAAAGCGACACGGACGGCACGCAGTGGGAGGAATAGAGACCTAGGTTGAAATAAAAGTTGGTGGCTTACATGTAAGACCGAACACCTACTTGCAACAGGTGAACCCGAAAGGCGTGCAAAGCTTGAGCTTGAAGAGCAGATTTTGCATCTTGAGAACCACATGAAGGCGGAATCCTGCATCGTATAATAGTTCAAGGAGGCTCTCATTGCAACGTACCGTCCTTGATTGAGGTCACATTTACTGGCTGCGGCCGCTTGTACTACTGGTCTGCGTGGTGCTGCCCGAGGGGCTGGCCTTGGCGTTCCCCGCGAACTTTCTTTCGGATTCGCGCGTCCGGCTGCCCGTGATGCTGCCCGTGCAGCTGCTTGTGAGGCTGGCGGCCCGACTGCGAGGGTCAGAGGCAACAGCGACACTACGAGGAGCAGCGAAAGTAAAGTTAATCTGCGTTGCGCCACCATCTTCATCGTCGTTTCCGCTAGGTAAGAAACCCCCCAATCTGTCGTTCCTGGCTCGGGCGCTAGTCTGCTGTGTATAATGGTCTCCCGCTGTTGCAAAAAGTGGTTCCTGGCTCTGAAAGCAATTAAGATTTTGTCATGGAAAAGCGGAGGCTGTAGGCGTAATAAGAGGGGCTCGGCGTGCCTAGCATGGCTGCATGGGGTTTGAGTGACCCATGGAAAGATGTGCCGTGAAAGCTACGAGGAAAAGCGTGCGAAACCAGCGTGTAGCTCAGAGGTGTGGTAGGAGGAGTTGGTACGGAGTGCGGAGCTGTAAAGCCTGTTGAGCAAGGGAGAAAAACTTCGACTTGTTGTGCTAACAGGATTCAAGAGGGGCGATGTAGTTGCTTTGAGTACAATGTTGGCATGAGCTTGTAAGACAGCACTGACCGGCCGAAGGCTAGCAGATACGGCGACTTGATAAGAGCTTCTGCTTGATTTGGATTTGCATCCAAGAAAGGAACTGCGAAGTTCGTGATGCTGAATTTGCCCTGTCACTACTCACCTTGTGCATTGGAGGCTCAGAATTTGTTCACGTTCACCTGACATTCTCCTGGCCTCCAGTCACCAGATTCACTCAAAGTGGGGCACTGGGGCGCACAAAAGCCAACTCAAGGTGTAGGGCAGATACGCCACAGCGGTGTCCAGGTCGACACTTCAACGTGATGAGCCGACATGGAATGACAAAAGGAGGGAAGGGAAGCAAGGAGCAGCAGGGCCAAATTTGGTTCGAGGAGGCTGGAAATTTGTCCACTCGAGTCGCAAGGATGAAATGGACGGTTGGATGAGTAGCCATGTTGCCACGTCAAGGCGAATGCGTAAAGGGCGAGCGAGCCGCGTACATCACCCTAGACATGCGGCTCGGATATCCAGTTTTTCTCGTGCCAAAACGCATTTTGCCGGACCCAGGGTTGTGGTGAACAGCTGAAAAGGCCGAACAATGTAGCTGTTGATTCCTCTAAAGAGAATTACTGTAGTAAGGGCGGGTCCAACTCGTTTCGTTTCGGGGAATAACACCCCTGTAACAAAATGTTGACTGTCCGGATGACAAACACCCAATTCGAACCTAAACACGTGCAGCGTCATGGTGACCCCAGGCGGGCACAGCACCTGCCCAAACGAACTGGTGTACCATCAACACAGACAACATCCCTCCCGTATGAACAGAAGATGGGGAAAAAATCATGCGTGCAATCGGCAGACTTCGTCAGGGGTTTTTATGGGAAGACACTCTAGGAACTGGAACTGTTGCGAGACAGGTTACCGTCTGACGAAAATAATACAGTTCGCAATCACGAATACACTCTGTTACTGGGGTGTTTGTGTGAGAGTTTGATTTGCTCTTGCTTCCCAGTTCGCAATATTTTCGAAAACAATTCGAGTTTGAAATGTGTTATGGCACGAAACTCGTTTTGCATGGCGGAAAACCGAGCGCGTCATCCCGGCTAGTCTCATGATTTGACGCGGTTACCCTACAGAAAATGGTTACAGAGGCTAATATTGACCTGAGCTGTGATGGTTTGGATGACCACCGGATTCGAAGCTATGGTTTCTAGTTTCGGCTGGTCAACTTGGAGTCAACGACTCAACCGTCGTTGACTCCAAGTCCCATGTCCATGCGTGAGCGGAAATTATGGGTGATTGGGGGAATGGGGGCTCACGAAACTGCAGTCGCACGAAACGTAACTTCTCGAGGTGAACCGTTTTTCTTCTCCCTGCCGCATGTACTATTGCGATTTGTTTGGGTAGCTCACTTCCCTAAAACCCTTAACACCATATATTCATTTGAAGGTAATAAATGACGATTTCATTTTAGGTGGAATGGGGAGTTCATTTTAAATATGTTTGTTTAGCATTATGATTTCGATGTCGGCGTTTCTCGTTATTTTAGAGTGTGGGGTAACTTTGTAAACGAGATGTGTGGATGGGGGAATGAAATTTTCATCCCCCGTAGGCTGAGGCACTCACCGGAATGCAATTTTCATTCTCTGAACACTAGGTCAGAGACTTTATGCCATGGGGGGAAATCTGGGGGAGAATGCGACGCGGAATCAAGCCTAGCGTGGGGTTTGCGTCGCATTTTAGGCTCACATTCGACATGTTTTTCACAATTTTCGTGTCTGCCTGAAATGTTTTACCTGGTTTGTCAAGGTCGAACCTGGAGGCTCGGCGTTTTCATTCTCCCTCCCATCCCCCCATATAGTTGCCGAACACCGCCTTGGTGCCGCTCGGGTTGGTTTTCAGGAATGTCGTTTCATGGATCAAGACAATCTAACCCAACCCAATCCAAATGAGTTGGATCTCCCCAATCCTACCCGAACGATTGGGTCGGACCAGGCCGACAATCCAGTAACATTGGTTTGGTTTACTTGAGCCTGCTATATTACGGATCTCGCACAAAGCTCGCCCATGATTTACTATATGAACCACATAACATGGAGATATGTGAGGTGATGACGCTCTCCTCAGTTCGCCCAGCCAACAGAGAACAAGCATTGCAACCGAGTTGGATTGCATCACGCCGTTAAAGCCCGGGTCTCTAATTGCAGATCGTGCGGGACAAGGTTACTATTCTTACTAGTCTTGGTGGCCCCGACTCAGCGACTGAACACCGAGCGTTGAGAGGGGTTGGGCTAAATCAGACAAGTCACATTGCTCGCCTTTGCTTTCACCTCCCCAACCACCCATCACCCATCACCCTGCGCAAGATTACAATTTTTGCGCAATTTGGGTTGCGGGCATTAAGGCATGAAAATAATGTTTTTAAATGCTGAAATTGAAACAGTGTAACGAATTAGAAACGAGCTTCGGACGGTGTCTATTTGTTTTATGGAAATTTTGTATCTCATAAATTGAGGTTTTTAGTTTTCAGGGAAGGCTTACTGTAGCGGTCCCTCATTCGAGGGACTTTCATCTCAACTTGCGCACACTTTCCGCTGATCCACTTCTGAGGCGGAAGAGTTATTATGCTAACTCAGAACTCGGCTTCTCCGCACGTCACGCAAATACTGTTTTCATCGGCAGTCTTCTGCCAGCAAGCACAAAACTAAACCCCTCTCAGGTGGCAAGTTTTCAAGGGCATCAACCCTAAACACCACGCGACAAGGTGTTTAGGGTTGATGCCCTTCATTAACATGCCAGCCAAGAGGGATTTTTTTTTTTTGCATCGACCCTAAACACTTAGTTGCAACGTGTTTATGGTTGATGCCCTTTATCACTTGCCAGCCGAGAGGGGTTTTGTTTAGTGCGGATAAAAAAACGTGGGCTTCAACCCTAAATACTGTTGTGCACCGTTTGCCTGAGTAGCAGCAGCAGTGGCTTACAAGATGATGACACGTGGGTAAATGTGGAGACGAGTTCTGTCTTAGCGCAATAAGTTTTCTTCCTGGGCCGCGAAACCTAGGAAACTGTGTGCAGGTAGAGACGAAGGTCCCTAGAAAGCGCAGGTTCGGAAGTACCTCTTCCGCTGTAACTAAAAACCCCATGATTTAGACCAAGTTAGAAC